ATTTCTTCTATCGAAATTGCATCGTGCAAGAATTTTTCATTTGAATGGAGCATTATACGCTTGCTTCGATTCTTGAAGTTTCTTGATAAGAATTTGCTCAACATGAACAGTATATTTCTTCATTCAAGAAAACCGCGACTGTAAGTGACATAAATTTCAATTTATATTGGTTCAAAAATATCACTGCTTGTTAAAAAGGCTTGCAGTAACGTATATATAGCGGTAGGCCTGCGCCCATTTGACTCCTAGGTCGTTAGCCGTCATTTGTCATTGCCGCTGTTGTTTCTTCTGATGAAGACGATACAAAGCATCTTTGTTTTTCAATGGTGAAGTGTTCAAGAATCAAGAGTGCTGAGTCATGGATGATTGTTGTGTGCGGTATCATCTTCACAGCATTGCGGCATTTCATATTTGAGTACTATCTGCGGGGGTAAGAACTTTGTATATTTTTTCAACATAGTTGTAACTAGTGGAGTGTTTTCCCTTCTTATTTCATCGGAAACTTTCCGAGAACCTTAATATCAATCATACCTGAAGCCATAAGTACACATCACTGTTAACGCATATGGCCATGTTTGTATAACCTGCACAACGCACATTCGTTCAGCAGTGACGATTTGACCAGTCGAATCCATTCAATAAATGCACTCATAGGTATAGGTAGGTAATTGTCCATTCTCTTTATATTTTTCACTCGATTCCTGATAAGAATGATTGATTGATTTTCAACGAGATAGGTGAAGTTAATACTTATACGTCTATGTTCGTCGTGGCATATAGCCAGGAAAATAGTTGATTCCTGTTGAATATGTACCAAGAAATAATTGATATTCCTATCAGATAGAGAATGATAAAATGAAAGTAACGCCACCTGAGTGAATTCTTATATATAGTTTACATCACATGGCAAAGTAACCCCAAGTTGTGTGGATACTTTGCCAATTTCAAAATTCAAAAATAAAATACTCTTTTCATACCTACTTCAGATTTCAACCTATAAGTGGCATGGACAAACAGGCAGAATTGAACATACTTCCTAGGCGAATACATATCATTCACCGTTCAATAATTATTAGCGGAGAACCCGACATTTCTGGCAAAGTAACTACGTTTAACGGTACCTATATACCCTCACAAGAATAAATCGCAGACAGTTGGGTCGAGAGACCGAGGGGGCCAAATGATGTTCCTGCTAAGAGGAGCCAAACGTCCAGGGATTGGCGAGGACTTCTTGTTATCGCTTGTCGACTTCGTTCGATATTTAGGGGTTCTAACTATTTTGGCACCAGTACGCTTCATTCATTGTGAATAAATGGTAAGCTATGCGGGTCCTGACATGGCGGCGACTTTCAACCTACCCCCTCCCCCACTTCGTAGCTCGCTGTAAGCGCCACCCCAAATCGTCCCGTTTCATTGCCGAACCCAGATGAACCTATTACTACTGAATATTGTTTTTAAATACTTCAATACTATCGAAAAATATGATGAGTCTGGCACCACGGACTCCTCGCCAAGCTTCCATCTTATGGCTTGCCTCCCCAGATATGTTCTCTGCTAGCTAGTTTTCTCTCTAACAGGTATCTCCATGTAGTGGTCGACGGACTGTCATCTGACACTATTATCATAAATGCTGTTGCTTCGCAAGGATCAATTCTAGCACCAGCACTATTTCTACTCCATATCAACAATTTGTTGGAAGCAACTTCATGTCCAGTACACAGCTTCGCGATCAGAATCGAACGAGGGAGAAAATGTTGACAACATAAATATGGACTTGGCAACAATTCTCGAGGGAATCCAATAACTTGGTAGATACCAATGCAAACAAAACACAAGCATTCCTTTTCTCTAGAAAAGCCGATCTCACTGTGCCCAACATAATCTTGTCAGGAGTCACCATACGTTTGGAGACATCCATTTCAATGTTTGGTATTACTATCAGCAATAACCTTTTTTGGGAAAATCACGTGAGATCAATTGACAAAAGTGCATTCCAAAAACTTGGTTTTCTGTTTCGGGTCAGGAGCTATTTCACTTTCAGTCAGCTGCTTATGATCTTCAAAAACAGATCCGACCTGTCCTGGAATACTGTTCCCATATTTGGAGTGCAGCACCCAAACATACCCTGAAATTGTTGGATTCTGTCCAAAAAAAAGGGCAATTCGTCTCGTGGGTGATGCCTCGCTCACAAACTCACTCACTTCTTTGGAACCCCGTAGAAAACTTGGCGATCTGGCTCTATTTTATAGATATTTCCATGGACGATGATCTTCTGAAATATCAACAATTGTTCCTCCCTTGGCAGTCCCCGCGAGATTTACCCGTCGAGTTGAGGCTTGGCACCTCCTCGTGGTCACTTTGGAGACCTGCAGAACATCTCTTTCCAAATACTCGTTCATCTAACGAACAGCGAGACTGTGGAACACATTGCCAAGGGAGGTGTTCTCCGAAGCATATAACATCCAGAAATTTAAGAAGAACACCAATTCCCACCTTATTTCCCACCCAATCAAGGGGTTCGAACTGTAACGATAAAAATATGTTATTTTCACTGACCTCTCATCATTTTTTTTTCAAATCAGAATTTTTGCTTACGCCCTGTATGATGACTACCTATTCGTTATACATCTGGACAAAAGGAATGATTACCTATTATTATTATTAGGTTGGATTTATACCTATTCAATTTAGTCCACGCAGAGTCGTGCTAGATAAAATCCATTGACTACTGTCCACAGCCTGATGTGGGGTGAGTAATCAATGGGACCAAGAACCGTGAGACCTGAGTAAACGCAATGATTGGAGTATGACGAATTATTATTATTATCAATTAAGTCATAAATTATCTTAACTTTATCGAGTGAGTAATGAGATTGAGCGACGGTGTCGAATAGTGATGGATTTGACTGTCTGTTTTGCGAAGACGCACACTGAGAATGAGCGACGGTGGTTGATTTGAATGCCTGTGTCACGCAGGAATTGTGCATAGGCCGCAGACTCAGCGATGGATATTAATGCCAGTGTCGCGAAGGCTCTGTGAATGAGCGACGGACTAAGATGGTGGTTGTAGTGGATAACCGAAACTGACTGTTTGACTATGTTGAAATGACCGAGATGGTTGATGAATAGATCTGAACTGTATTGGTCGATGAGAAGGAATGAACCTTGTACGTCTTGCGAATAACTGACATAAATTCTCTCAGTTTGCATTTGGTCTCTGACGACTAAATAGGTTATCGAAATGTGATTCCTATAAGGTACCTGTCCCATATATATAGCGCCAGGTACTCAATAAAGCCAGTAACTTGTTGTAGCCAAGATACGGTTAATGTTATTTCCACAGCCGGCATGTGTATACCTTCTCATCCTATGCACAAACCAATTTTGAACTTTTGGAACGAGGCAGTAGACGGAATAACTGGATGCGCTCCTTCGGTGCTCATCGCGTTACAATATTGATGCTAACCCCAAAGTTTAGAAGATAGGATACAAAGTGGTTAATCTTGCTAATTTTAATTACTATTATAGTAGTGAAAATGAATCAGTACAAGTAATATTTTTTTAATTAGAACATTATTTCATTCCGATAATGTGATCGTATTGTGAAGTTGTCGCGTGATTTAAATGAAGCCACCAAAACTTGGAAGGGTGGCCTTACCAAGAACACTGACCTAATATTGAGAGTTGCAATCTGTTGTTTTTCAATCATTCCTGTAATAATTCCGAACAAACAAGCCAAATGGAGTGGGTAAGAGAAGACATAGCAGCTGCTGATAATGGAATGTCGCTTCTTAGATCATCCAGAGAGAATAACATCCCCCGAAGAATCCACAGGAACAACAGTGGGTCTGAAAGCGCTCAGAGAAAGTTAGGGCGCTCTGCTTCGTTGTTTTAACAATTTTCTTCGTTTGAATACTTTGGTCTCATTAAGTACATAGGTAGTCGCCAAATAAAGTCACTTTTCATAAATTCTGTTCTTAGATTGATATAAATTACTCAACACATCCAAATAAAAATTACAACGTATGCGTAACATCATGGACGTGTTTGCGCTGAGTGTGATCTAGGACTAATATTATGAAGAGGAAAGATTGGTTCGTTTGTTTGTTTATTTGTTTGTATTGAATAGATTCCGAAACTACTAAACCGATTTGAACCTTTCACCGACATCATCCCTAATCAACCTTTCACCACGAGAAAACGGTTCATTCCTACGGGAAAAAGGGTAATAGGACAACGGGTAGTAAGAAATATATTTCCGTACTTATATTTTCCACACTTCTGAACGGCTGAACCGGTTGGGTAGAAGTTTTATATGCTTGTTATTTCGATGGTTTTCTGGATGATCCAAAGATACAAGTGGACGCGGTAGGTGGTGCCATTATCCAAACATCGAACTCATTACAAACATAATAATATACAAGGGTGTTCTATGGTTTTATTTGCGTCATGATAACAATGGTCCCTATTTGTATTAACGACGGTCTCTCCTTATTCAGCACATGAATAGGATCATGAATTGATCAAATTGCACTTTTTCATCTAAGGACCCCTTGAAACTTTCTTATAAACACAACTTGTCTCATTTTCTTTATCGAACTTCGATGTGTTCAATTTTCCCAATATCCTGATCCTGTTCCTGATCTGTAAATATTTGTCACCATACAATAATTAAAAGCGTTTCATGTATTTGATGTCATTACCCAAAACCCTCTTACGAAGACACCATTTTCAATCCATAATGGCATGTAACGTTCAACAACACCATTTCTAAATCTCATCGACCTCTGAAAACAAACGCCAATTGATATCCCGCTAAAAAATTATCTCTTCCAAAACCAACCCATGAACCCATCAATCAACAACGAATCCAATTAAGCTGGCCATATAGAACTCGAAAAACCCACCCACAACCCCCAATAAATTAGCGGTCGGCAAAACAAAACCATCAACCAATTTGAACGATCCCAATTGACATCCTATAACCTATAATTACCTACCTGAATTGCCGGGCACCCCAAATGGTGCGGACCCTTGAAACATCGGCCCCGGACCGCCAAACGGATTCACTAGCCCTTGATGGGACCAATTCGGATGGGCAGCTTGATACATGGCAGCGGCAATCGCAGAAAAAGGTGTCGGTCTGATCGGACCCTGGCTCAAATATGCCTCCTTAGACGCATCCTTCTCCCTGGACGAATAAAACTCGTCTTTAGCGGGACTCCCATCCGATTTGCAATCGGCATTGAGGTCCTCCACATCCACTATAGAGTCCTCCTGGTTGGAGTCGTATTCCTCCTCGGAGGACTGGAGAGTGGGGCTCAAGGGAGGCGCAGGAGAACGGGTTTTGACAGGCCTGGTGTCCGCTAGCAAGGAAGCAACACTGAAGCTGATATGTCCGTTTTTGTTGGCCGATATCTGCTGCTCAGCGTCCTCAGTCGCTTTGTCCCCGATATTTTGCATGGTTTCTCCGTGCTTCGCGTCTGAACTCTCCACTGTTTGGATAGTCATTATTTGGGCACAGTTCTTTCAGCATAAGTCGATGTCACGCACTGTCACGTCTCCATTGTCTTTTCACACGGTTGATGATTGTTTTTGTTGTAAATGCCGACTAAAACTTCAAGGTGCTCAAAGTGAACTGAACGAACGACTGATCATGCAAAGTCCGTGGAGGTTTTTGTGGGGGGCGTATCGTGGAGAGGAACGCCCCTCGGAGCTCCGCCCCAGGGGTGGACAGGTTGTTAGCCGAGCAGCCAATGGGACAGGTCGGTCTTTAACTGCTTCGCAGTGAGTCAAGTTGTTGTTGCAGCTGTGGGGGTTCTTCGATAGGGCTCAATGGGTTTACTTCGTTGGTTGGTTGTTTGGAGTTTTATTTTGTTTTCTGGATTTTTATTATTACCAGCGGCCTCCAGGGTTTACACTTGTTTATGGACATTTGAGACGGTCTTGAAATTGTTATAACTTAATTATAAAGAACTCATTTGGACTCATTGGATCTTTGAATATGTTGAGGATTAGATGCGACGGGAAAAGAGGATAGTGGTTTACTCTGCGCATGAAGGCGAAAATGAAATACGTATATTATAATCTTAGATCATTATACAGGGTGCGTCATGAGCAACTGTACGCAAAAATTCCACACTAAAGAAAGTTTATAAAAATATATATTCTTTCAAGTGCGTCGTTTCCGAAATCTAGTTTTTTTTTAAATACAAGTCTGAATATTGCACAATATGCATTTCTCATTTCCCACACATCGACTACAGCTGTCATTCATTTCACTTCACAGAAGTGCAAAAAATGAGAACAGTTTTCTTAGATCAACACTCACCAATTCGGATATTATTTCGTAAAATCACTGATATAAAGTAAAAGCTTCTGAAAACTAAAATATAGCAACTGACGAAAGAGTCTTGTTGCATGAGTTTACCCAGATAGCACGGGACGTCCCGAAGACGTCCATTTTAGGTCCATTTTTGGTCTGAACGTCCAGGACCTTTTATGGACGTTTTTAAGACGTCCATTATTGGACATACTCCGGACGTCCAGAAAAAGACGTCGTTGAAACGTCCAATTTACAGACTCTCACGGTATATCAGCTTAAATTGATATAAGTAGGTAGGTATATATAAATTTTGAAATTAGAATTATTGAATTGAATATGGACATGAATAATGTCGAAAAATATATTATATATCAGCTGTATCAATATATTGAATTTCATTTTATTATTAATATTATGAATTTGAAATATTTATGATTTTAACTGATTTGTACCAACTTATATAGTTATGTTGAATCATATTCCTTCAATCACATAATACCTATACAGTTTGACCATTCTTAAACCCACACTGAAGTATTCATATTGAATCACTGAATATGTAAAGCAACCGTAGAACGCATGCGTGCTCAGCGTTGCCAGACTTACTATTTTAGCAGTAGATCTACTGTTTTTGTCTCCGTTCTACTGTTCAACTATTCAAGGCAATGGTCTGATTGGTCAAGTTTTGATATGACGTAACTATCCAATATGCAACAATGAAAAATTGATGGGACATCACAGCAAGAAGATGTATGATAAAAATATAATGCAACTATCATATTCAGTCTGATTAGTGAAAATTACCTTTTATTTTCAATCTGGTTGCGGTTTTCACACTATAGTGTGGCGGTAGGACGGTGAGGGTGCTATGTTTGAGAATACAGGTGATGGTGGGCTATTATAGGCAGGGGTCCATCATAAGCACATTAACCTCATAGAGTTTTGTTGATAATTCTTCGATAGTTTTGGAAGCATTTGTTTCTACTCGTCAATTATACATTACCGAAAACCACGAGGAAAATCCATCATGTGAACTGCGATGGAATAACAAAAGATTCAATATTCCACTAGCATAACCAGTAAGGTGGAGGTATATCATAGATTGAACGAACTTCAACCTATGAGTAATTTCAGCTTTTATCATATCAAGAACACCAGATAAAAAAAAATATCTTTGATCGAACAAATCCATTTTCTTGAAATCAAATTGCTTCATGCAAGGATTTTTATTTTAATAGAGCACTATACACTCATCTCAAATCAATCGGCTTACTTGCTTCGTTTCTTAGAATCTCTTGATATGAGTTTTCTCAACATAAACAGTATATTTCTTCATTCAAGAGAACCGTGACTACAAGTGACATGAATTCCAATTTATATTGGTTCAAGAAAATATCTGCTTGTCTAAAAGACTTGCAGTGACGTATATTCTGCGGTACGCCTGCGCTCATTAGTGGTGCCCGCGAGAGTCTCGTTTTCGAGAGTCTCGCATGGTCTCGTCTCGTTTTTGAGACAAGACTCGAGACGAGACTCGGACAAGACGAGACGAGACTTTTATTGGTCTTGTCTCGAGTCTCGTGCAAGACTTCTCGTGTCTCGTGGGAGAGTCTCGCAAGTCAATATTTCTGCGTGCCGACAGCAGACTTGAGATTTTCATTCATAATGCAACATATTTTGAAAGAATTCAGACAATTCAGCACAAATAGACAAAATATTTCATTCATAAATACTCAAGAATACCGGCTACTTCAGTCCCGGAGAAAAGATTATTCTCACATAAGAAAACATCGGAATCGCCCTAATAATGAATCTTAACGACAAAAACAAAAACATTTACGATCCTGAAGGCTGATCTGACTGATAAAGGATTTTTTTCTTAGATACCTATTTCTTGAATAAGTAAAATATTGTTGGATTAAAGTTTGTCTTTGTTTATTTGTTCAGAATACGTGTTACTTCTCATTTTATTTTTATAACTTCCGAATATATAATGCTATGTTTTTTTTTCTTTTCTAGATGTTATGATCTAAGTATGTATACCTATTAGGTACTTACCTTTCCTACTTCTACATTATACATAAAAAGTAGGTAAAGGTAAATATCCCGTACTAGACTGGAACAAGATTATGCATGACGAAATTGCGATACTTTTGCGAGACTCTCGTACGAGACGCGAGACAAGACGAGACTCTAGGCTGCGAGACGAGACTCGAGACAAGACTTCATATTTCATCGGCGAGACGAGACGAGACTTCATGAAAGTCTCGTCTCGTTGGTCTCGTGTGAATCACTAGCGCTCATTCGATTCCTCAGTCGTTAGCCGTCATTTCTGATTGCCGCTGTTGTTTCTTCTGAAGACGTTGCGAAGTACTTTTGTTTTTCAATGGTGAAATATTCAAGACGAGACAAGACTGCATATTTCATCGGCAAGACGAGAAGAGACTATTAAAGTCTCGTCTCGTTGGTCTCGTGTGAATCACTAATGTTCTCATTTTCTCTCTTTCAGAATTTCTTGTAACCAGAAAATATCTGGTTGTCTTGTTTTCGACAATGCCTGGCGGTGATGAATGGGAATGTTGTTTCTTCTTAAGCAAGTTCTATAAGGTTTAAAGGTTATGATTCCCATATAACAAGCCACTCTGATGCAAAACTCATGTAACATTTTTTAATTGATGATATCACTCTTTCCTCTAGGTTTTCGTGGTTCAACATTCAAGCCATTTTAATCACAGTGACGTCCTGGGGAAGAAGACGACGAGAGCAAATCAAAAAAATCTAGAAGAATGAATACCTATTCCACCTCCAAGATTAAGCTACACAGAGTATTTGATGATTTTACTATATGTTTATGTTTTCATTTATATTATACATGTTTCAATTTTTGTTATGTTATGATAGGATGATCAAGTTTTGATAATAAAGTCTCTTGTTTACCAACTGTTAGAAATAATTTTATGTATTACTCAATACTCTAAATAGTATGCTATAAATATTTTGATCTCCTTCTAAATGATAATCTCTTGGCACAAGAAAATAAGGATCTCCTGAAGATAAATTCACTTATTATTATCAGATATTATCTATTTGTCACAAGCTCAAAATTTCTTGATTCAAGAACAAATTGTTCAAATATGATGGGAGATTCTTCCTTCGACCAATACGTATTGTGATAATAAAAAAATATCCATTCGAATCAAGATTTCCTTTTATGAATGAGTCAAGAAAGATCTGTATAAGAATCAAACAAATATTTGGTTGGACCTATCCATCAAGAGCGCCATATGGTTGAATAATCTATATAGTTGAATCGATGGTGTTCCGCATTAAAACAAGAAATCCTTTTTATCTGTGAAAGTGATGAAAAAGTGTTTTTTATCGTTGACTGTATTATAGGTATCACCATCATCGTACGTCACTGATTATAAATCAATAGGCCATTGAATCTGTGATGTCAATAATTATCTCGTGATCATAGATGACATATCATACAAAAGATACTTAAACTATATCAATACTGTTTGATAATAATTATCGTTTCATACATAAAGATTCACGAAAATTCATTAGAAATGAAGGAACGTTAGAAGAATGTGCTCTTCTATATATGCCTAAACTTCAGTACCAATTAAAGTTGCAGGATGCATGTAAGAATTCCTATATCTGAATTCTGAATCGATATAGTTAACCAGCCAATAACCAGAATACCTATACCTACCTTTCTACCTATCATATTATTGTCACTAATGGGTATAGCTTCGTCATATCCAAACCTGATCTACTGTCATCTGAATGGACTTGGAATCAAGTTATTGACAGATTGACAGGATGCTAATACCAGCAGACATAGCAAAGCAAACATATAAATTCTGTAATTCCTTCACCTTGACGTCATCAATATGTAAAAAAATGCATATATACTTACTTACTTCAATGGAGAGAAAATAATTATCTCTCATATGCTGTCACAACACTTCGTGAGCAAAGATCCATTACTTAGTCAAGCTACCTATACTCTTTTATTCTCCTTCATTATTTGTTATGGTTACGATTTTCGGATTCTGTGAATTCCGATTTATTGGCGGAATTTTTTGTCCATCGATCGTTCGAAAAGGACTACGTAGAAGGAGACAGAGCATAGGCGTACCCAAGATATATTTCTAGGGACTACAAATTGGGTAAAAAGTCTGTATCAATCTATTTGTGCAGTTCGAAAACAACTAATGATATCACTGAATCAAGTATCCTTTCATTCAAAGAAATACGCACTTCATTCAAAGGAATTGTGATCTTGGATAT